CATTGCTGTCTATGCAGGGTCAGAGAGCTCTCGGATTTCATCAAAAATATCTTAATTTGTGTTCTGAAGATGAACGAAGGTCTTACGGGTTTGGAATGACATGAGGGTGAGTAATTAATGACAGATCAGATTATTTTTGGGTGAACTATCCCTTTAAAAGATAGTCTGGTTTAGCTTATTGGCACACTGTTACAGCCCACCGTGGGATGTTCAATTAAAGATGGAAGACCAGGTTCCGTAAAACTTTAACAAACAAAAGCAAAAAAGGGGGTGGTACAATGCAAATCGAACAAACCAGTCAACCGTCATTTCGTATGGTGATGTAACGTTTCATGCTACAGTCCATCATAAAAGGATAACCAAAAATCTTATTCAAGAGTGTTTTTTTGTCTTTGTATATATATATATATATATATATAATATCATTATGATTTAATTTATCTTCTGAAGTCTGAAGTCTGCCTCTTTTAACTTCTGTCTCTTCACAGAAAATCCCTCCTTCAGAGAGACATCAGCCAGTGAGACCTCCACCACCAGCCCAAAGCAAAGAAATTGGAGAAGCAATTGCCCGCTACAGCTTTAATGCTGATACTAATGTGGAACTTTCATTAAGAAAAGTAAACATTTTCTTAGTACTGCTGTCATAAATATCTTTTAGTTTCAGCATGTGCTCATTAATCCACTTCTTAATGTCTCTTACCACTTAAGAGCATGTCTTTTGCTAAATAATTCTCACTTTTTACTGAATGCTAATGTTCTAATGAACTCTTGAAAAGAAATAAAGCAACAAGACATTAAACACCTTTAAAAAGTTTTGCCTCAACCATTAACGACTTCTCCATATAGTTGCATATTAAACATCAAATACATTATAATTGGTTATGATTTTGTACTAAAATTTTGGTTTCGATCCACCAAATATACCACCTAATATCTTGTGTTGGTGTCTTCCAGGGTGAGCGTGTTGTTCTGTTGCGGCAGGTGGATAAGAACTGGTTTGAGGGCAAAATCCCAGGTACAAACAAACAAGGGATTTTTCCTGTGTCATATGTGGACATCGTTAAGAAGACTTTAGTACAAAGTACCGGTCAACCTCCTGGGCCCAGTATACCCTCCAGCTACTCCAGTGACAGACTGAACAGTAAGGTATGTTTTCATCTGCAATTCCACTTAAAATGTACCTAAAATGTCTAAAACACATCTCATATTACTCATGAGGTTTATATTATGGTGACTACAGATATCCGAATTTCAGGTAACATACATCCACAAAATATACTTTGATCCAGTGACTGTATAATCTTATCTGGGTAAATACTGATTTATACTTTAAATACACGATCCGTGCCGACAAACGGTGGCATCAGAGGCACTAAAGCCTCTGATGCATATCATGTTACTCATATTGCCATAGCTCATGTACAGTACTATCAGTGCCAACAAGGTGGCAAGTATAAAATTAATCCTTTCTCAGATGGCAACTGTCCCAGTGCCAAAATAGAGCACCTCTGTCATCTTTAGATTACCTTTGGCTTGTTGTGTAAGATAAGCCTGAATTCAGATTAAATGCCCTTGAGTTGTAAATTCCATCTAAAGAACAAAGAAGTAAAGGCTTATTCCTTCGCTCACATGAGATGAGTCCAGCAGGATTAGATCAGATTAATCACACGTCCTGCCATTATCCAGTATAGCTAATTAAAACATGGACATGACCTGCTGTGCTATACATGTGCTGCTCAGCTCCTGCTGTTACTGAAAGGGAAGTTTCTGTGAAGGTGAACTAATATGACTGAACTGGACTGGTATCATTTCTTATTATAGCAAACACATTTTAACTTTGTACTACAGTACATACATTGACCCCATAAAGAATTTGGACACTTAAGCCACACTTAAAAAAATGAATATCATTGCATTAGATAACAAAAAAACAAACAGCCCAAAGCAAAGAAATTGGAGAAGCAATTGCCCGCTACAGCTTTAATGCTGATACTAATGTGGAACTTTCATTAAGAAAAGTAAACATTTTCTTAGTACTGCTGTCATAAATATCTTTTAGTTTCAGCATGTGCTCATTAATCCACTTCTTAATGTCTCTTACCACTTAAGAGCATGTCTTTTGCTAAATAATTCTCACTTTTTACTGAATGCTAATGTTCTAATGAACTCTTGAAAAGAAATAAAGCAACAAGACATTAAACACCTTTAAAAAGTTTTGCCTCAACCATTAACGACTTCTCCATATAGTTGCATATTAAACATCAAATACATTATAATTGGTTATGATTTTGTACTAAAATTTTGGTTTCGATCCACCAAATATACCACCTAATATCTTGTGTTGGTGTCTTCCAGGGTGAGCGTGTTGTTCTGTTGCGGCAGGTGGATAAGAACTGGTTTGAGGGCAAAATCCCAGGTACAAACAAACAAGGGATTTTTCCTGTGTCATATGTGGACATCGTTAAGAAGACTTTAGTACAAAGTACCGGTCAACCTCCTGGGCCCAGTATACCCTCCAGCTACTCCAGTGACAGACTGAACAGTAAGGTATGTTTTCATCTGCAATTCCACTTAAAATGTACCTAAAATGTCTAAAACACATCTCATATTACTCATGAGGTTTATATTATGGTGACTACAGATATCCGAATTTCAGGTAACATACATCCACAAAATATACTTTGATCCAGTGACTATATAATCTTATCTGGGTAAATACTGATTTATACTTTAAATACACGATCCGTGCCGACAAACAGTGGCATCAGAGGCACTAAAGCCTCTGATGCATATCATGTTACTCATATTGCCATAGCTCATGTACAGTACTATCAGTGCCAACAAGGTGGCAAGTATAAAATTAATCCTTTCTCAGATGGCAACTGTCCCAGTGCCAAAATAGAGCACCTCTGTCATCTTTAGATTACCTTTGGCTTGTTGTGTAAGATAAGCCTGAATTCAGATTAAATGCCCTTGAGTTGTAAATTCCATCTAAAGAACAAAGAAGTAAAGGCTTATTCCTTCACTCACACGAGATGAGTCCAGCAGGATTAGATCAGATTAATCACACGTCCTGCCATTATCCAGTATAGCTAATTAAAACATGGACATGACCTGCTGTGCTATACATGTGCTGCTCAGCTCCTGCTGTTACTGAAAGGGAAGTTTCTGTGAAGGTGAACTAATATGACTGAACTGGACTGGTATCATTTCTTATTATAGCAAACACATTTTAACTTTGTACTACAGTACATACATTGACCCCATAAAGAATTTGGACACTTAAGCCACACTTAAAAAAATGAATATCATTGCATTAGATAACAAAATATCAAACCAATGTCATTAATTTAAAAAAACAATAGCACAAGCACACTTTTAAGCAAGTTTTTTTAAGCACTGGAGCTGGTAAGATTTTTTAGGTTGGTAAAGGTTCAATGTTGAAAACAGTTTTAATATATATAAAAAAATGAATATCATTGCATTAGATAACAAAATATCAAACCAATGTCATTAATTTAAAAAAACAATAGCACAAGCACACTTTTAAGCAAGTTTTTTTAAGCACTGGAGCTGGTAAGATTTTTTAGGTTGGTAAAGGTTCAATGTTGAAAACAGTTGTGCTTAATATATATTTTTTGGGAATAGAAAATTCAAAGGAAATATGAATCTTTTGTAACAATATGAAAGTCTGACCGCAAACATGAACAGTAGCGTACTAGTAAAATTACAACGTATTTGGACACTTTTTGGTTGTCAAACATTAGTCGAAGATTCATACATTTTTAAACATGGCTTAAAGATAAAAACATTTTGGAGACAATGTAAATTCACAATACACACAATCGTCCAGAAAATGTCCTACTAGGTCATTTTTGTCCAATATTTTTTCATTTCAACTTTCACAAGAGAAAAAAGTTCTTGAAAAGCCCCCGGGTAGATGTGGAAGGCTCATATTATGAGGACAGGATACTCCTATCTCTGGTTTATAGATGACCTCTTAGTGGCCTTGTTGTTGTTTCCACCTCACAAATCCATACAGACAGCAAGTGTGCTCTAAAAATGATTCATTATGGCATATCCTTCCTTGTAGCTCATGTCTTCTGTCTTAGGCCTGTTTTCCCACATACTGCATCTGCAAAGCCTTTACAATAATTTGAATATGTGACTGCATAAAGCGTTCACAATGACAGCGTTTCTGCTGTGTAGCAGAGCTACGGAAAATGAAGTGCTTTCTAGGAATTTCCTTTGATAATGGCCATAAATTATGTGAAATCTAATTTACATGATGGGTGGGATTCTGTATACATCCAAATAGTAATTAATCTACGCATAACAGTATCCAAACCCCACACTGTAGATATAAACTGCTTAAATCATCTGGAATTAGTCAAGATTTACTGAATAAAAAGTGTTGTTTTTGTACCATGGTTTTCTAGGTGGGATTTTCTTGTAACTCTGCAGAATTTTTTCATCTATCCTCCTGTCACTTTTCAGTTCTCTTAATTTCCAGTGTATATAAACACTATCACTTTCTATTTCTTCCTCTCTTAAGCCATCATCTGCACGTACCCTCTACAACTCTTCATCCCCATCTGTCCGTCCACTCTCCTCATCCTCTCCCAGTCCACAAAGAGCCGCACACCTTCAGGCTATCACCAGCAAGTGGTTGGCCCTCACTCTGGGTCTGTCTCCTTCAGGAACCCCTGCCCCCACACCTCCTCCCTTTCCTTCCAATTTCCAGCCATACTATGAAGTATTGGATTTTGCCATCTCCCCTTCTCCCGCCTCCTCCATGCTGGGCCGCTCTCCAGCCCTCACTCCTGCGCTCAAAGAGGGTCACTTCATTCCCATCACCTCCCCAAAGTCCTACATGTCCCCCGATCCGAGCCCATCACCTCAACCTTACCTCACCTCCGCCTCCTTCACTCCTTCGCCCACCTCACCCATATTTGACTCCAGCCCCAGGTCTAGCAGTGTCATAGAGATCCTCTCCAGCCAAAAAGCAGATTTAGCCGAGAAAGAACTGCAGTTGTTCTCAGATCGCAAAGACCTCCACAAACCAGGCGAGACAGGCCCCGCTAAACTGCCCAGCCCTATTGACTTGGCTGTTTTTGAGGCACACGAATCCCCATTGGACATCCTTCCACCTAAAGACAACGAGGATGATCTGTGTGAGGAGTTAGTGTCAATTATTAAGGCCAGCCAATCAAAGGGCACGTTCAAAGAAGAGGAGGGATTTTATCGCCAGGAACCAGATATAACAGAAAAGCTTCCCAGTCTGTTTATAGAGGAGGAGCCGAATGAAGACAGCAGCTTCTTAAATGAACCATTGACATCAAATACATTTACTCCAGTCCAACCTGCCCATAGTGAGGGGTCAGATATTGAGGTAGTGCTCGCTGTGTGGTTGTACTGCCCAAATGAACAGCCAAAATAGATTTCCTTACAGGAGAAGTGTGTAATTTTTTTATATTACGAAATATTAAATTCCGTCTTTTTGGAGCAAACTATAGAAAATGGGCAAAGTACTTAGGTTTTTATTTTCATTGGTCATTATTTTTGCTAAAAATTAAAATTAAAAGAATTAAAAGTTTAGTCAAAAAGTGAAACTGAAAATAAAGTTTAATAATCAATTAATTAATTACATTTATTTAACAGTCAACACTCAAAAAAGTTGTATATAAAGCTGTTTTTGTATCAGATGTGGCTGTAATAAAAACGTGTTTCTTTTCTTTTTTTTTATCACAGATTTATTCATTAAATAAAGACAACAGGTTAAGTAAAAGTAAAATGAATATATAATATTGTGCATATATTTAGCCAAAATGCTCCTCTCTAGAGTTATTTCTTTCTGGCTTACTTACAAGCTATTGACACTGAATGGCTTTCCTGAGGTAAATGTAATGTTATGTGACATTGTTTTGAAGCTTCTTTATTTATGTCTTTCCACTCAGAATCTTATTGTGAATATTGGTTGGTGGGTGCACTACAAATAATGTTTAGTGAAGTTTTGTTTAGTCATCATCAACAAAAAGAAAACAGCGTAGACTAAAAAGATCTTGGCTCATCAAAATGGAGATTGATTAAAAAGGAGAAATCAATATTGCCAATCCAGCACTATCGTCCACCTCAGCTGAAAATGAATTTTCATTTTGACTGAAACAAATGCGGGTTGATGCTGCATTTTGACTGTGAATATTTTCAGTTTCCAAAATTCCAATGCATCACTCATTTTTGCAATTCTGTTTGGTGAAGTTAACGGCACAAAAAATTACACACTTCACCTTTAAATTCTGAAGCATCTGTAGAGGATGATGAACATATGTCTTTGGCATGAATAACTGTTTTCATCTCCACACCAGCAGGGTGAAGTTTCCCAGAATGCCTCTCCACGTCTCTCTCCCCTGTCCTCACAGATGTCATTGCTGTTCACACTGCCCTCATCGGCTAAATACTCTCCCCCTTCCCCGCGCTCCACCCCTCCACTGCCCGGGGTTTCACAGTCGCCCCCTCCCTCTGCAAAACTGTTCTCTCGACAGGACCTCCGCTCCCCAAAGGTCAAGGTAAAGACAAGGTGCTTGTTAGTGACTGTACTAGCGCTCATCCTCCTCCACCCTTCCCCCTAGTCTTACCACTTCATAACATTCCCTATTAAAGTTCACTTGACGTACATCATTTCTGCGGTATGCATTTCCATGAGAGATTTATTGCACCACAGTGTGCACACTTCATAAATGAAACATGTAGTTTCATGTAGTTAGAACAATGTAGTTCATATGTCTGACATACAGTAAATTATTACAGTTATACGGGGAGCTAGACTCATTCATTATTAGTAAGTCATAGACATATTTAAATCACCCAACCCCCACCAACCAACATTTTTAAATTCGCTACCCACAATCCTAGGATCCTTTAAATTAGCTTTATGGGCCATGCCCTATTAGTTCTGTACACTGGCATGGGAACAAACAAAGACCGCTCACAACGGATGCTTGGGTAAATAATGAGACATTTAGACTAAAAAGAAACAGGCACAATTCTGTCCATGAGTAAATCGTATAGAGAATATTCACTCCCTCATGTTAACCCTTTTTTGTATCAATTATTACCCTACCATTCAAAATTCAGATTTGGTAAGATTTTCTGTTACTGTATGTTCACCAAGGCTATATTTTATTTTTGATCAGAAACAGTAAGAACAGTGATATTGTAAAATATCATTACAATTTAAAGGAGCAATTTTCTGTTTTAATATATTTTAAAATTTTAGAGCATCAGAATTTTCAGCATCATTACTCTAGTCTTCAGTGTTCTGTACACTGGCATGGGAACAAACAAAGACCGCTCACAACGGATGCTTGGGTAAATAATGAGACATTTAGACTAAAAAGAAACAGGCACAATTCTGTCCATGAGTAAATCGTATAGAGAATATTCACTCCCTCATGTTAACCCTTTTTTGTATCAATTATTACCCTACCATTCAAAATTCAGATTTGGTAAGATTTTCTGTTACTGTATGTTCACCAAGGCTATATTTTATTTTTGATCAGAAACAGTAAGAACAGTGATATTGTAAAATATCATTACAATTTAAAGGAGCAATTTTCTGTTTTAATATATTTTAAAATTTTAGAGCATCAGAATTTTCAGCATCATTACTCTAGTCTTCAGTGTCACATGATCCTTCAGAAATCATTCTAATATGCTGATTTGCAATGTCGAAAACGTTTTTTTACATTTTAATACATTTTTTACGTTGATACATTTTTTCAGGATTCTTTGGTGAATAGAAAGTTCAAAAGAACAGCATTTATTTAACATTCAAATTTTTTGTAACAATGTTTAACTCTTTACTGTCACTTTTACTTTTGATCAATTTAATGCACCCTTGCTGAATAAAAGAATTAGTTTCTTTTTAAAAAATAACGTACTGACCCCACTCTTTTGAACAGCAGTGTTTGTAAATTGTGTTTATATATGACTGCACATAACATTCATGTCATCTTCTCCTGGCTCTGGTTCTTTCAGTCTGTGTTAAGGCGTGATGTTGGGGTTGTTGGTAAGCCCCCTCGTAGCCCTGTGATGTCTAGGAGGTCCTGCGGATCGCCTGTTAGAGGTCAAAACTTTTCGCCATCTCATAGGGTAGGGAGTTATGTGCACCTTGTGTGATAATGGCACAGCTGACTCAAGGGAAATTCAGTTTTCTTTCTTTTCAATGTATCCCTGCACAACGCATAATGTCATTCACTGTATTTGACCTGGGAATTCACTGTTTTGAGTGCAGTTCTTTCCATTTTTGCTGCTATAGCTGGATATAATGATATTAGGAATGATACAATATATACTGGCATATATTTGTGTCAGCGTATGGTCGCGCGATGCTTCTGTACGCAATATCATTCCATCAGTAATGTATGGAGGCATGCTGAGTCAGTGAATAAGGGATACTCTTAACACCATGGCCTTGTCTGTCTGTGAGCATTTTGTGGTTGAGAAAATAACATTTAATTCCTAACATCACTGTAGAGTGATAACATTTTGTTTGGTCTGCATGCTGGAAGTGATTTTCCTGCATGTCCATGACTTCCTAGATCAGAAATTGTGGATTTCTGTAGTCTTTGTTTTGTTTTTTTTTGGGCTCAAAGCAGCTGAGAAGATTGGCTTGTTCATGCAGTATTGGTTTAAGCAATGCATAATGAGTGTTTGGAGTGTCTGGATTACTCATGGGACTGTCCCAATGATCTTTCCTGTGTACACAGCTTAAACAAGGTGTACTCCCCAGGGCCAGGCAAGCGGCCTATTCCCCACATTTCCTTCCAAACAAGGGGAGTACAGTCCTCGTTTTCAGGATTTAAGGCATTTCCCGACTGTTTCTAAGTCCACCAATCAGATATATTTTAGAAAATATGTTGTTTGATGGCTTAGAAACCCATAACTTGAGCCCCGGTGGTCCTGGATCTCACACGTATTTTAAAAAAAAGTGCAATTCCTTTTTTAAATTCAGTTTTGAAACACATTTAGGCAGGTCTGATCATGTACGTAGTTCAGATGCACAGCTGATCCAGGTCTGGCCTCAGGCTTTGCATCAGTGGTTCTCCACGAGCACAGTGGAACTCTCAGTATCAGATGGACATACAGCAGAAAGAGAGATGGAAACATTTAAATGGCCTTTCCTGTTTTCTCTCTTTTCAGTCCCAAAGACAAGCATATGGTCATGATCCGCTTCAAGGTGCAGGGGAACCGTAAGTATTTCAAGTCTTCTTCTGTTTCACAAAGATTATTGTTTTATGCTAACATTATTCCATTGTGGGAATTGGTCAGTATTACAAGACCCAATTCTGTAATATAACCTAATTTAGAAAGCACACTTAAAGAGCCTTTCCTCTCGCAGATTCCAAGCCCTGTATAACTACATGCCACGAAATGAAGATGAGCTGGAACTGAAGGAGGGTGATGTTGTTGACGTCATGGAGAAGTGTGATGATGGATGGTTTGTGGGTAAGACTGTAAACTCCATTTTCATCAGGTTGCTGGTTACTACACAAGGAGTGTTTTAGTGATGTTCATTTATTTGCCACTAGCTGGTGCTATTCTCCAACCAAAAAAATACTGTCAACACTGTCATGGTTCAAACAGCCCATGGATGTTTGGAGAGATAAATATATTGATGGATTTGTACAAAAATATATACTTTACCATATATACTATATGATATTTTTTTACCATACAAAGTTGGCCTCATTCCATATTTAATATTTTAGGAACGTCCAGGAGAACAACGTTTTTTGGAACCTTTCCTGGGAACTATGCGAATCGGCTATAAGTGGACTTTTTCAGTACACATCTCTGATGGTCCTATACATCTACTGAGGAGAGCTGAACAATGTCACCTACAGCTACCTGCTGGAATTAGCATGACATGTTCCAGTCATCAACACTGTGGAAAGTGATGAAACTGATGAAAAGCCAATGGCCTTCGAGGGGTTATTGCACCGTTTATGTCATTTGGTTCAAATATGCTGATAATTCAATTCTGAAAGCATTACATTAATTAGGAATTTCAGTAAATGCTTTAAAACATTTGGTTGCCTACATTTTCCCTCATAGTTGACAGAAATCAGTTTGCTTGCCTTCTCGTTAAGCTGATGAATTTCAACATAACGAGTAATCAAGTGCCCTATTTATTTGTACTTTATTAAGAGGCACATTTTCTTTCATTGGAAGGATGAAATACAGTAGGTGAGAAATTATCTACTGGTGCCTCTTGTACACTGAGTCTGATCTGATCTAGATTGTATAGACTAAACAGTATTGCAGTGTCATGTTTGTGTCAGGCAGTGGATATTACAGATGACCATTCCTGCCAACATGTATCTTTTCAGTATGTTATTAACTTTTTGGTTCAGAAGAATGACCTCCGGTTTTCTAAGGCACTATGTTTTTCCTCCAGACATTCCTTTGAGCAATTGAAGGATTTTACAGATAAGAGAAAAATATTTTTGATATTTTTCAATCTAAAGAGATAACGTTTTTGAGATTGCAATATCCCTAACAAAAAGCATGTTGCAAAATGGCCATGTTACCTGTAGTAAACGGACTCATATTAATGTCTCAACTGCCTATAATAAATATTTATGGTTCCTTGCACATCACTTTTGGTTTACACACTGTAATCTATTTATGGCCAAAAATGAGGAGCACATGATGTCATAATTACTAATCTGCGATTGGCAGCCATGTATTTTGTATATGTCGCCTTCCGATTGGTTCAATTTGAGTGAGGAAATGTACGTAAAAATCTATTTTTGTTTATTTGATCATTCATCAAACGTTTTTCATTATGATATACTTAATATATTGTTAATTGCTCACTTTCTATGTCTTTGATCTGTTCGGCACAGTGATTACACTCATATTCAAATGTTCAATTTAAAATATGCAGCGTTTCAATTTTCCTGTGAGACTATGACTAACAGTTTTATTCCAGTCAGTAAAGCAAGAAATGTAAATGTGTCAGTCAGTAGAAACATGAACCAATAATATATGTAATTTAGGCAATATTATACCTAATGGAATTATGCAGTCTCTGTGTCTGTCAATGTGCTTAATGTACCAGTAACATCCTGCGCATGCTGTTTCATAAAGAACTGCTCATCAGTGCAAATGTAATATTGTACCAGTATGAGAATGTATTAACAACATGCTGCTCTGGTTTAAGAGATGCATATGGTGGTACTGGACTTAATCTGGATCTGCGAACCATCAAGACTACCAGAGACCTTCATTGTGGTTTAGTTAAGTGTTGGCAGACAGTCTTCCGTTCTTAAGCACTAGCTGATCAGAAGTGAATCTGAACTGTGCTGTTCCTGGTGCATAACTTTACCACATGTAATTTATGTAATGACATGGATATTTGTTATATTTAATAATGCACGATTCAGGAACAAATGTTTATAAAGTACAGAACACTGTGATATGTTCAGCAAATTAAAGGCAGAGTAAGTGATTTTTCAAAAACACTTCGTGTTTGTTTTGGTGATTTCAAATATCAACATTGGCTACCAGAAATCACTCACTCTGCCTTTAAACCTGATTGTTGACTGAACATTATGTTTGGTGCCAGACTGTTGATGGACCCTGATTGGATAAAATCGGACAATTGCTCTAATATAGGCTAATTGGTTAAGAATAGAAAGAATATAAAGTCACTGAATTATATAAAGGAAAGACGAGCCCTAAACCATTGCTGCTGCTTATATCAACATGTCCACCCATTGATTAATAAACAAAAAGTGTCTGATTGGACTCTCCAAAAAAGTCAAAGCAATCATTGATTTTAAAGTCTTTGTCCTTTCTTTCTCTGTGGAATAGTGCATAAATAAATTCTATCACTTCTAATGTTTTCATCAGACTATGTTCTCAATGGGAGTCACATTGTCTCCGTAAGTGCATAGGATAATCGTGCCATACTGGATGTCATCCTTCTGCTAGCAATCTAGTCCCTGCAGACCGTCCAGTCTATAAACAGCCACATCATGTCCTGGAGTTGTCCCTCCTGCTGCCATGGCGACACAGTAAACAGAGGGACAGCGGAGAGCCGGTCTGAGTTTCTGTCCCAGAGAAAGAACCAAAGCCATCCAAGAGGCAGGGGTTTCTGTCTAGACCAGTGGCGTAGCCAGAATTTTATTTTTGGGCGGGCCTGGGCAAAAGTGAGCGGGCACCAGGCTAACTAACAGAGGAGTCCAGTGGCGTAGCGCACATCCGCGGCCCCCAACAGCGAACTCGAGTGTTGGTGGTTTGGGGAGCTGGATGTCGCAATATTGTAAATATTTGTTTTAAACCACAGCAGTGGCGTAGCCAGAATTTTATTTTTGGGCGGGCCTGGGCAAAAGTGAGCGGGCACCAGGCTAACTAACAGAGGAGTCCAGTGGCATAGGGGAGCTGGATGTCGCAATATTGTAAATATTTGTTTTAAACCAGGAAGGCGAGCCAATGGATATCACACAATCAACCTGCAAACTTTGTGCAAGAGTTATGCGGTGAATCTTAATCTCAGTCGATTCACTAGAAAGTGAAAGTAAAAACTGACGGCGCTTTCGGCATCTGACGCTGCATTAACGGCGCATATTCTCTCAGAGACGACGAGAAACGAATCTCCTTCATATGCTGATAACGGTATATAGCTAAATGTTTTAATGTAGGCCTACTCCCTTAATATTTATCTTGTGGCCCGAACATAGGCTAGTGGGAAAAAATAAAAAAATAAATAAGAAACGTAGGCCTATAGTGTTAAACAGGTGGTCGGAAGCTTGAAAAAAAAAAGTCGGTGCTTGAAATAAAGCTTTTTCATTGATGATTGCAGTGTTAATCATTTTAATTATAGGCCTATAATTCATTGTATATTAAACCTGTTTTGAAAGTCCTTTTAAAAACATTTTCAATGAGGAATAAGCTAGCCTACTCTTTATTATCCCTGCATCGCGTCAGTTATGGGGTGATGCGCTATGAAATTATTGCGGGGTAAATTAGGCTATTTGTAATCATTAATTTAATAATAAAAGTAACTTAATAATAATAGGCCTAATAGGCTAATAAGAAGAATGTAACAGGCCTATGTTAACTGAAAATGCCAAATTAGATATAACTAGAGTGTAGGCTATACAATTATTTTATTCAGAAATGTCATGTTTGTGATTTTTTAAAATGTGTTAATTCGTTATTTTAATTAATAGGCCTACAAATTAGGAAACAGGTTCAGTTAATCGCCGGCAGTCACAACATTTATTTTAAAAAATTTAATATTTAATTTAAAAAAAAATCTTTGTGAGGACGACTGGCAACAGCTGGTCTTATACCAAACGACTTTTTAACACCGACTGAAAACACTGACTGAGCTCAAATGACATTCATAATCGGCCTGACAGTATTTCCCGGCTTAGTTTTTAAAAGTCCTCTTTTTTTTTTTTTTTTTTTACAGAATTATGCATTGCTGCTGTTTTTCTAACATTTTCTAACACATCTGCAAATTACAGTCCAACTGAATGGATGAACACGCACGAATTTAAATGCGCGACATGCCCGAAACAGCCTGGATAACAATCAAGGATTATGCAAAAACACATTTATTTGAGTTATTTGAGATGTTATAATAGTTCTCTAATTGTGTTAAAATAGATTAAACAATAATATTATATTTATATAATAAACTCTTTCATCAGAGTGGGCGGGTCAGGCCCGTCCGCTGCCTACGCCCCTAGACTCTGTGATTTTCCGCATTTGTTTTTAATGGAGCAAATTCTCACACGCTCTTTTAAGCACTTGATAAATATATCTGGGAATAGAGCAGCAAACCCCAGTTAACATCCATGCCAATCTGCTCAAAGTTAAAGGCACAGTTTGCCCAAAATCATCATGTTGTTACAACCCCCTTGACTTTTGGAACACGAGGGTGAGTAAATGATAAACATTTAAATTTTTGGACGACCTTTCATTACTAGATGGGGTACATGATGTGACAGCTTGGAATAGAGAAAGATTGTCTGGTGTTAAGGTTTCCTATGTTTGATGTAGCTCAGGCCATGACAAACAGCCCATCCCTGGCACACCAAACAAGGAGCTGTTCAAGCCTACAATACAAGTGCTGTCAAGCTAGAATGTTTGGCTTTCAAATAAAGAGCACAGTGCTGCAGAGCCATGTAGAGTACAGTACGCTCCTCTCTGAAACTTTTCTTTGGAAACAAGTATCACATGCACGCATAGGCGGAAATCCCGGGGCCTATCTGAGGGTTGTCCCCCCTAAAAATATGATTAAAAACCACGCTGTGCATTGTAATTAACAATGTTTTATACTTTAAATAATTGTGTAAGTAGTAAAACAACACAAACGGGTTAAAAATGCTAATATATTAGTGGTATATTTGGTTACCATGAGAAAGTATTTGGACACTTAATCACAAATATATAACAAAATGTATGAACTGTGTATTAAACTACCTGCAATAAGCACAATATTTAAGTAAAACAAAAAGCTTTAAAAGTTATTATGGCAAAATTTAACGGGACGTTCAGAACGCGTTCTCGCGTTTTTTTTTTTTACAAAGTTGAAGTTAAACTTGAATTTTAGCTTGATTGCGTCATAAAAACTAGGCACTCCTGCGCACGCGTCTAAAAAATATAAAATATGTCCGTCTACCATGTTTACATTTGAAAACAATAAAAAGGAGCGCAGCGATTGTAAAACAACACAGGATCTCGAAATGCGTTTGTAAAAGTTGTTTGACACGGCATCTTAAAAACGTGGTGCGCATGCGCTAGACGCCGAAATCGTAGAAGGTAGCTATGTAGCGCGTTTACATGAAACTGGAAAAACGATTGAAAAGAAGCACAGTGGAACGCAAAAACGCGTTTTGTGTGAGCGATCTCTAACAAACGTTTGTTCTGTCAGATATCATTGGATAGTTAATGTGATGAACTGCACCTGTGGTGTAAACTTGAGAACTGACTTTATATGTGCTAAAAAAAAATCACCTGACATAACTGGTATAACAGTCATTGCAAAAAAAAATAAAAAATTGGCTCAGAAAAGTGAAGTTAGTTTGGAGAAAAGGTTGGTTTGATGTTTTATCTTCTAATGCAATGACATTCGTACATTTTAAAGGGATAGTTCACCCAAAAATTACAATTTCATTAATTACTCATCCTCATGTCGTTCCAAACCCGTAAGACCTTCGTTCATCTTCGTAACACAAATTAAGATATTTTTTGATGAAATCCGAGAGCTTTCTGACCCTCCATAGACAGCAAGGGTCCTACCACGTTCAAGGCCCAGAAAGGCACCAAGAACATCGACAAAATCGTGCATGTGACATCAGTGGTTCAACCGCAATTTTATGAAGCTATGATAATACTTTTTGTGTGCAAAAAAAAAACCAAAACAGAAATAACAACTTTATTCAACAATTATTCTCTCCTGAGTTACTATCTACCACCATTATCGAGAGTAACACAATGCACTATCAATAATGGCGGTAGATGGTAACTCAGGGGAGAAAAATAAAGTCGTTATTTTTGTTTTCTTTGCACACCAAAAGTATTCTCGTAGCTTTGTAAAATTACGGTTGAACCACTGATGTCACATTGACCATTTTAACGACTTTCTTACTACATTTCTGTGCCTTGACCGTGGTAGGACGCTTGCTGTCTATGGAGGGTCAGAGAGCTCTAGGATTTCATCAGAAATATCTTAATTTGTGTTCCGAAGAAGAACGAAGATCTTACGTTGAATGACATGAGGGTGAGTAATTAATGACAGAATTTTCTTTTTTGGGTAAACTATCCCTTTAAAGTGTGGTTTATGTGTCCAAAGTGTTTTTTGAAGCCACTTTATGCGTAATGTAACTCTGTGACATCTACACAGTAGGCTAGATAAATTAACTTTTTTTTTTTAATGAAATGAAATCCAAGCAGTTTTCAGTGTTCCCTTATGTGGCTGTGTTACTGAAATGGTTTACATTCCTGAGAGGTTTTAAAGAGCAACACATGCTGTGTTGATATGAAAATATGACATGATATCGTTCTGTTATTGTGCTCTGTAAATAGTTCGTAATCTGCTCATCAGCAGCAAAGGCTCTGACTCAACGCTCAGCCTCAACTTCATGATGGAGTAGTCTACTCCTCTCAGTCAGGCACAGTTGTCTGGCCGGAGGATAGGAAAGAAAAGTCTAGACAGCAGACAGGGTGATGACAGAGCAAAGGGAGTCACTGGTGGATGATTTTAGCAGTGGTGTAATGTAACGAAGTAATAATACTTCGTTACAGTACTTAAGTATATTTTGGGAGTATCTGTACTTTACTTGAGTTTTTATATTTCAGTCAACTTTTACTTTTACTCCACTACATTTCCTAATTAAAATGTACACTTTTACTCCGATACATTTCCCCGAAGCATATTCGTTACTTACTACAAAATAGTCAGAAGAACACGGACTGCAGGAAAGCAAGTTTGACGAATCAGTGGT